TTAGAAGGAGAGAGGAAAAGAACAATGATAACTTTGACGACAGGTGGTCGTTTATGTTTAATATCATTATTGAAAGCTTGGATCTGAGAGAGATAGAGCTTTCGGGTAGAAAATTCACTTGGGCTAATACTTTGTCAAACCCGACGGTTGAGAAGTTGGATCGAGTCCTCGCGAGCGTCGAATGGGAGCAGAAATTTCCCATGGTAACAGTCCAAGTGTTATTGCGCGGAATCTCCGACCACTCCCCTTTGCTGGTTGACTCTGGTGAGGCAACACATGTGGGGAATAAAAATACCTTTTCTTTCGAATTGGTGTGGTTTGAAAGAGAAGGTTTCTTGGATCTGATAGCCAGGGAATGGGCTAAAGATGCAGGAGGTAGGACTTCTGTTGAAGGATAGCAAAATAAGATAAGGCACTTGAGAAGTTTCTTACGTGGGTGGGCTAAGCATCTTAGTGGGATTTATAAGGTTGAAAAGGAAATGATCCTTACACTTATTCAGTCCCTAGATTTAAAAGTCGAGTCCACAATTCTAGAGACCACAGAGCTTCATGATAAAGTTGACGCGGAGATGAGATTGAAAGAACTCCTGCGAGAGGAGGAATTGAGGTGGGCATTGCAAGCTAAGGTTCGCAAAGTTGTCCAGGGGGACGCTAACACTCAATTCTTTCATATGATCGCCAATGACAAGCACAGAAAGAAAAGAATCTATCAGGTTGAACAAGACGAAGGAACGATTTTAGTACAGGAAAACCTAAAATTATACATAACCGAGTACTACAAGCAGCTGTTTGGGCCTCCGGTGGATAATTTTGTATCCTTGGATGAGTCGAGAATTGAGGATGTTCCTCAACTTGCTGCGGATGAGAATGATATTTTGACCGCCCCACTTTCGGAGACAGCAGTGTTTGAAGCTATTTCATAGATGAAGAATAATAAAGCTCCAGGGCTGGATGGATTTCCGGCGGAGTTCTATAAAAAGTGTTGGCATATTATTAAAGGGGATTTGATACCGATGTTCCATGATTTATTCTCTGGACAACTTTAGTTGTTTCATCTGAATTTTGGAACAACCTTGCTTCCTAAGAAAACAGAGGTTGTGATAATAGAGCAGTTCAGGCCGATTTGTTTTCTTAACGTTAGTTTCAAAATTTTCACCAAGGTTGGGACTAATGGACTCACGCAGATTGCGCACTCTGTGGTGCAGCCGTCCCAAACTGCTTTCATGCCAGACAGAAACATCCTAGAAGGGGTTATGGTCCTTCATGAAACGCTCCATGAAATTCACACGAAAAAACTAGATGGAGTTGTTTTCAAAGTGGATTTTGAGAAAGCGTACGATAAAGTCAAATAGCCATTTCTTCAACAGGCCTTGCGTATGAAAGGTTTTGATCAGGCCTGGCGACAACAGGTAGAATCTTTCATGCAAAAAGAAAGTGTTGGAATTAAAGTGAATGATGACATAGGTCACTACTTCCAGACACATAAGGGCCCGAGACAAGGAGATCCAATGTCACATATTCTGTTCAGCATAGTAGTCGACATGTTGGCGATTCTAATAGGAACGGCTAAGGATGCTTGTCAGGTAGGTGGTCTGGTTCCTCATCTAGTTGATGGAGGCGTGTCTATCCTACAGTGTGCCGATTATACTATCATCTTTATGGAGCATGACTTGGCAAAAGCAAGAAACATGAAGCTGGTGTTATGCTTATTCGAACAATTGACCGGGTTAAAGATTAACTTTCATAAAAGCGAATTGTTCTGTTTTGGAAGAGCTAACGAGGAACAAGACGCTTACAAGCAATTGTTCAGGTACGAATTGGGGGTTTTACCTTTCACGTATTTGGGTATACCAATTCACCATCGTAAGCTGACAGACAAAGAATGGAAGTGCATTGAGGATCGACTTGAGAAGAAACTGAGCTGCTGGAAAGGCAAGCTGATGTCAGACATAGGCCAATTAATTCTTACTAATTCGGTTCTCACGAGTATGCCCATGTTTCCTGTGTCCTTTTTCGAGATACCAGTTGGAGTTCGGAAAAGGCTGGACTTCTATCGACCCCGCTTCGCGAAAATACAGACTCGCCAAACTGGATATTATTTATAGACCGAAAGACCAAGGGGGTCTAGGTATTGAAAATCTTGAGGTGAAGAACATATGTCTTCTCAGTAAGTGGTTGTATAAGTTATCTGTAGAGACGGAGGCCACATGGGCGTAGATTTTGCGTAGTAAGTGCCTTCATTCCAAAACTTTGTCCCAGGTGACAGTGGGGCCGACGGACTCGCCTTTTTGGAAAGGACTGGTGAGAGTTGAATCAGTTTTTTCAGTAGGACAAAGTTTATAGTCGGAAACGGTGCCACTACGAGATTCTGGGAGGATACATGGTTAGGGGAAACACCCTTCACGCTTCAATATCCTTCACTTTATAGCATTGTTCAACGAAGAGACGCTTACGTTGCGACAGTACTTCAGTCCATCCCTCTCAATATTCACTTCAGGAGGATGCTTGATGGAAACCGTTGGGAAGTCTGACTCCATCTTGTGAGGAGACTGATGGATGTTCAGCTTTCTCAACGACCCGATCCATTGTGCTGGAAGCTAACTAGGAATGAAGAGTTTACGGTTAAATTCATGTAATATGGATGTTATCAATTCTAACTCCATTCCTAGATCGAAACATGTTTGGAAAGTCAAAGTACATTTGAAAGTTAAAGTGTTTATGTGGTTTGTACATAAACATGTCATTTAACTAAGGACAACCTGGCAAAACGCAACTGGACAGGACATACAAGATGTAGTTTTTGTGATCGGGATGAATCCATCAAACACCTCTTTCTTGACTGCGCGTTGGCAAAAAAATTATGGCGGACGGTTCACATAGCTTTTAACATTACTCCTCCGAATACTGTCAGCACGTTATTTGGGACGTGGCTTGACGGGATAAATACCGAAATGGCGAGGCACATTCGCGTAGGAGTATGTGCTTTATTTTGGGCAGTCTGGAACTGTAGAAATGATTTGGTCTTTAACAGAACAAGAAATATTATTTTTTTGCAGGTTATCTTCCGAGCCACTGCGTTGATCCGTATGTGGTCGCTACTCATTCCGACGGAGGCCAGGGAGACAATTAGTTTTCCTATCTTTTTTATGCTAGCCGGTTGTGGCTTTACTTTTATTTTTCTGCTCTTTGTGAGCATTTTTTGTTCTTTTGTTTGAGACATCAAGACTTGTGTTGAACCTATTTGCTTATTAATTAAGTTGGTCGTATGCATCGTTCTGATGCAGAAGCCGGGGAGCTCCTCCTTTTTGAAAAAAAAAACTGATTCGCAGATTCTTTTCAGTTGTCTTGCTCTGGTAGTAGCTGGTACTATATCATGTTTTGGCACTCTGCCTCCTTTCCTTTCTCGTGGGACTATGTTATGTCTGTTACGGAACTAATGGAAAAGGTCGTAGCCCACAAGCATCAGGTGGTAAAGCTATCTGATTTGAATTTACCTTCCAGGGCTCTCATCTGCCTGTAAAGAGGTACTGCAGCAAAGAAGACAGCGACGAGCAACTTGACCCTGAGAAACTCGTAGCTCGTCAATGTGTGAAGGAAATCGACAGCAGATTCAGAAATACGGTAGTAGGAGTACATGTTAACACTTCAGTACTCACCATGAAGGCACGTTGGGAACTGGGAAGTTTCCTCCTGCTTGGTCTCCGGAGCTTGGACCAGCTGCGGCTGCGGGGATCCTGAGCAAAATACGTGAAACGTCATGTAGTACTTCCTTTGAACTAAAACCAAAACCATGACAAGAATCATGAACGGAGCGAGTAACAATCTTGCAAGCTATACTGAACAAAGTTTGTTGATACTTCTCACAAAGAGTTGTGATCATCACCATACAAGCTAAGGTAAGGAAGCTCAGACAGGGCCACGACGTTAGTACACTCACTGTGTTGCTCCTCTGGTCGTCGGCTGGACACGGTTGATGCCCCGCGACTTGATGGCCAGGCCAGCGAGGATTTGCCGGCGACGAGGCGATGCAGACACAAGTGAGCTCCGTCGTTGCCGAGAAACCTCCGGACTGTATCGCGGCAAGGATCCGGAGGTCAAGGAGCTTACGGGGATCGCCATGAGTGAGATCTAAAAGGAGTATGGCTTTCTTCTTTTTGGAAGTCGAAACTACCCTTTTATGAGCTTATTATAAACTTGTGGCGATCTCATGGGGTTGCTTTCTTCTGCGGAGTTCTACTCATGAGCTTAAATATTAGTGCTCCTGTACACTAGTCTGCGTACCAACCATAATAAATGGACAAAATGACAACCGATGCGCATCACACGAAGATAACATAAAATGCAGCGCACGCGCTCCTCGTTGTCTGACTGCCACACGCAGCCGGACCGGACCCGACACTCGCGCACGTCATCCACGAGGAGACCCACCGCCACTTCATCTTCATCTCTTCTCAGCGTCTCTCTTGTATGAGTCGTGCCTTCTTCTTTTACCAAGCTAGCAACTAAGTATAAGTAACCACAGATTGATAGGCCTTCTTTGCGAGGGGGAGAGGCAAAACCAAGCTCTCTTTGCAGGCAGTGTACCATTGGCAAAAAGACCAAAACTACCGAGTAACATGTTTGTCAGAGCTAATATGATCCAGATCAGATCTTCATCACCACCATAATGCAAGACCATCATTCAATGCGACACTTTGCAGCTAACCATTTCGTCCCTAATGGGAGGCTAAAAGTGGTCCAATAAAGCTACCATTTGCGAAAATAATTCAAAGTCCGGTAAGCGTTAGCCTTGAACATTGGTTTTGTTTCTATGAAATGGAATCGGGAATCTGATCCCTGATGATTTTAAATAGGGAAAAGAATAGTACTCCCTCCGTAAACTAATATAAGAGTGTTTAGATCACTATTTTAGTGATCTAAACGCTCTTATATTAGTTTATGGAGGGAGTACAAAGTAATTATTCTGCATTTTGCCTCGATACTCTGTTAACACCTAAGTGTTACTTCTGTTTCCTATCGACATCGTCTCCTTTCACTGAGTTCTTTCTCAATGATCTCTCCTTCTTGACCTTCTCAATTACAGAATCCACTACGGAATCCATCTCTTTCTCTATCTCATCAACCTGCGATTGAACAAGGGAAAAAGGTTAGTCCATCCAAAAAAAAAGGAAAAAGGTTAGTAGTTCTATACATAAAAGGGCAAATATCTTGACATACTAAACACCACACATTTTAATTAATGTCCTCGAACCAAATAGAGATTAGTTGTCATGTAGTGCATTAAGATTTTCCCTTTTAAAAATTCCATTGATCTTTTTCTAATTACAAAGGCCATTGAGCTTAAAATCGGGGGAGTAATAAATTAGTAGGCAGTTAACCTAACCTTCTCAATTAGGGCCTTGGCTTTCTCCGCGTCCTTCTCAATTTCATCTGCAACGGCCTTGATCCTGGATGCTGCCTTTTTGAGGTTATCATTACCGGGAAATGCTTCAGATACATCATCAGCAATTTTCTCAGCCGCCTCAGCCACTTTTTCGACCACCTCAATTGCTACTTCTGCCGTCTGCTCCACCCTATCTATTGTATGTGATTTACACACATGGAGTGAAGTTAAAATCAAGATGCATGCTACGATCGACATAATTCGGGAGTATTATTTTCAGAGCACTGTTATTGTATTTCTTTTTCTTCCAAGTAAAATGTGCCATTTCATCATGAAAAATTCCATGCACATAGAAGGCATAAACATGTATTGACGTTCGATTTTTTTTCTTTTCAATTTTTAAGCATTTCTAACAAATTTTACTGTCTGACAAGCTTTTCATGAGTTCGTGAGGACAAAACTGGCTTGTATTTCCAAACGAATAAAATTCCTCATAAAATTCAAACATTTCTATGCAACTGTGTCTAAATTTTGTCCTCACGAAAAAACAATACGTAGGGAGGAAATGGCTAGGGTCTCCTTTTTGTGCTTTTGTGATCATTGTGAGAAAGGGTAACCATTTTACTCGCCCGACGTCCAGGGAAGTGTGAGGTATTGTGGGTCAGATCACTCTTGAGCACTAATGCGTGTCCAAACTCCTAACTCCTTGTGGCAGTTTCATGGTTAGCCTCAGGCTTTCCTTCCTGGGGTGCTCGCTTACACTTTGCTAGGTGATCTGGACCTGTCGGAACAAAGGTATGTTTGGAGCATTGTGTGGTTTGCTCACCTTTGAAAATGGTGCTGTCTATGTGCTCTCCTCCTGATCTACTTGGATAGGACTGAAGAAGGAGGCTCACAAAGGAATCCTGATGGGCGCGATCTCTAGGGCCCTTAGCCTCTCTGGACAGTAGTACCTGGTACTCCCTCCGTCCTAAAAATCTTGTCTTAGATTTGTCCAAATGCGGATGTATCAAGTCACGTTTTAGTATTATAGGTACATCCATATCTAGACAAATCTAAGACAAGAATTTTGGGACGGAGGGAGTACTATAACAGTACCAGATTTGCAGATTCTTTTCGGTTGTGTTGCTCTTAGCCGCTCTGGACGGTAGTAGCTGGTACTCTTATCAGGTTTTGGCACTCTGCCTCTTTTCCTTTCTCGTGGGACTATGTTATTTCTGTTATGGAACTAATGGAAAAGGTAGTAGCCCAGAAGTAGATTTGAATTTACCTTGCAGGGCTCTCATCTGTCTGTAAAGAGGTACTCCGGCAAAGAAGAGACCGACGAGCAGCTTGACCCTGATAAGCTCGTAGGTCGTCAATGTGTGAAGGAAATCGACATCGCATTCAGAAATACACTGTACATGTTAACACTTCTGTACTCACCATGAAGGCACGTTGGGAACTGGGAACTTTCCTCCTGCTCGGTCTCCGGAGCTTGGGCCAGCTGCGGCTGCGGGGATCCTGAACGAAATAGGTGAAATGTTATGTAACAATCTTGTAAGGTACTGCCATCAACATACAAGCTGGTAGGAAGCTTAGGCAGGGTTATCACAACATCAGTAACACTTACTGTGTTGCTCCTCTCGTCGTCGGCTGGACACGGTTGATGCCCCGCGACTTGATGGCCAAGCCGGCGAGGATTTGCCGGCGAAGAGGCGATGCAGACACAAGTGAGCTCCGTCGTTGCCGAGAAACCTCCGGACTGTATCGCGGCAAGGATCCGGAGGTCAAGGAGCTTACGACGATAGCCATGAGTGAGATCTAAAAGGAGTATGGCTTTCTTCTTTTTCGAAGTCGAAACTACTCTTTTATGAGCTTATTATAAACTTGTGGCGATCTCACGGGGTTGCTTTCTTCCTCGGAGTTCTACTCATTAGCTTAAATATTAGTGCTCCTGTACACTAGTCTGCGTACCAACCATAATAAATGAACAAAATGACAACCGATGCGCATCACACGAAGATAACATAAATTGCAGAGCACGCGCTCCTCGTTGTCTGACCGCCACACGCCGTCGGACCGGACCCGACACTCGCGCGCGTCATCCACGAGGAGACCCACCGCCACTTCATCTTCATCTCTTCTCAGCGTCTCTCTTGTATGAGTCGTGCCTTCTTCTTTTACCAAGCTAGCAACTAAGTATAAGTAACCACAGATTGATAGGCCTTCTTTGCGAGGGGGAGAGGCAAAACCAAGCTCTCTTTGCAGGCAGTGTACCATTGGCAAAAAGACCAAAACTACCGAGTAACATGTTTGTCAGAGCTAATATGATCCAGATCAGATCTTCATCACCACCATAATGCGTCGCTCCTTACGTGTCTGTTACAACTGGCTCTGTCGCTATTTTATTGGCCATAAATGAGCCTGGTCTAGCTTCTGGTAAGTACATCTGTGGCGAACCTCTCTTTCTCAGATGAGATCGCACATGCAGAGATGTGGGGCTAGGTGGTTTGGCGCGCAGGAGAAAGGGATGGGAAAGCAGAGAACAAGGATGAGAGACAGGCAACAGTAGATGAGATTCAGACTCTACACATTCGATCGATGCCTGTCTCAGGTTACAGCCACGCATAGATAGACACCTCCACCTGCCTAGCCCCCATAGGGCCACTACAACCCAGGCACACCGAACCACTAACCCCGCTGGGCCACCGCGGAGAACCTTCCCTGCCTGCTTTGTCACCTACAGCTTCTGAGCGCCGCACCGAAGATCCGAGCCTGACACAATCGTGCTAAAACTGAAGAATACCGGTCTGTCATCCTAGCCATGTCAACGTGCAAACCATCAGAACAGCAAAGCTCCCTTTTTGTAGATAGAAGCACATAATGACCGTTAGTTTGGTTCGACATACGAGGTAAAAGAAGAATTCCCGTCTCTTGGTATTGGCATTGTCAAAGAAACCAGTTCAAACCGTCCATCCTCAACATTTTTCCCGGGGTTGACTGAAATCTGGAAGCAGAATGGACTGTTCTTGCCTTGGTTGAGCAGGCATTTCATAACAATGAGCCAGATAAGATGAAAATCAAGCTTCCTTTTGGTTCTCTTCCTTTTAGCAATGCCTATCTTGCCAGTGCCATCTAGCATCCCAGAAGTGCTTCAGTGGCCAGATTCACAAGTACCTACCAGCATGCAGTGCCGGCTCTTGTAGCATTCAGACACATCATCGGCGCTAATATTAGAAAATAAAGCCTCTGCAACTTTATTCTTCACAAGCACAGGAACTTGTCCAGTTTGGTCTTGCACATAGATCTGCAGATCGTGAAGATGTGGTTTTACTAATATATTTTCAAGAAAAGAAACTGTTTGAGGTTGGGTGCTGGATCTCTTACCATGAATGGTTTATATATCTGGCCAATAACATGGAGATACTTTGGATTATCTGGGCAGTCAATTGGATAAGTACTGTCGCCATGAAGATTTCTGCATAGAGGATTTTATAAATCATGACACGCAGAGCAATATAGATTTTGGGACATATAACTGATGAAATGTTGACAAGATGACATGCATGCGCATACTTTTGGTATAGTGGTAAACCACATAACTTGCATCCAGTAGTAATAAAATCTCTGACGATATCATTATGTCCACTCAAGGAATGTTTCTCAATGACTGATGATTGCCCCTTCAATTCAAGGCTAAGAGAACCCATTAACACAATTTTTCCAATAGATGCATAAATATTCAAATTACATGGTTTGCTCTGAGGTAGTAGTTCTGAGATGGACAAGAAGTCTGTCGTATCATTTTTCATTCTTTCTTTCCAATTCTTCGACATCACCTGCGGTCAATATAGGAGTTTTATCACTTACATATTATAGATTATTAAAATAAAATGTTAATGTTATAAGTTATCCAAGAAGACAAGTTAAATAATCATGATCTAATCTATCAATAGAGAACTTATGGAGTAAACCATGAATGCTTTGATTGTGTCGTTCATTTATTAACATCAACATAACAGGTGTAATTGTGATGTAAGATGAAGTGAAAACACAGGAGTGACATTCAAAGGATTTTTATGACCATCTTATAAACAAGCTCATGTTAACAGAATCCATTGTTTGAACCTTTAAGCGGAATTTAAGGGCAGAAGGAAAGAATTGGATATGTAGATTGCTACCTATCCAAATCAAACTAAAATTGCACTGCCTTGGCAAATTTGTACCTGCTGATGATTTTCCGCACAAGTACGTTTGGTGTGTACGATCCACTCTGACACTCTTCTTAATTTTGATCTTGTAGCATTCCCGACTTTACAATTAATTATGAATTCATCAATTCCTAATAAAAGAGCCCATGTGTTAAGTTATCCAGTAATACAGTTTCTTTTTCTTCTAGACACAATTATCTGACGGAAAATAAACGTAGATGCTAATATAAACATGAGCCCACATAACAAGCAATATCTAGATAAAATATTGCAGAGAGGAGTATTTTTATAAGATGGAAAGAACAATCAATTGGAAAGGTCTCGATTTCAAGAGCTGGCCAATGTTCAAATATAATGCCCACCTTTTCCCATCAACAAAGCCCTTACCACTGTTAGTCTAATATATGTTTCCCAATTTCCTCAATAGTAAAGATGGTAAAAACAGTATTGTAGTTACTCCTGGGTCACCTCATTTTGAAGTAAAAGAACCAGGGCCAAAGAGCACCGATGAATAAAACAAATGCAGACGCATACCTTCGGGTTGCACTAAATCTTTAGAGTTCATCAAAATTTGGACTGCAGACATCTGAGAAGCTCTTCCCTCCAAGCCATTTCTAAACTCTACTATCTTAATATCTGAAGCAAAGGAACGAGAACGTCACACCAGATGCTGTTTGCATGCACATAAGTTACATGGACATGCTAAATCGGAAACAAGCTGACCCAAAAGGGGCAATCTATGCTAAAGTGTTTCCGAGAACACAACGAATTACCATTTGAAAGACCAAATGGGGATGGTTTCACTTAATTTTTTATCAACTAAAAGAAGGTATACAGTATTAGATTACAACTGAAAGCACTACACAGGTAAAATCGAGATTAAAAGAGAGACCCCTCGGATCCTCAGTTGCTTACTCTGCAACAGTAAAACATCGCCAGCGACGATGGTCGAACTGGTATTGTTGGACCATAGAGAGACGGAGAAGCTCGACCTCGTGTCGTCGCCAACCTCCAGAATAATTCTGTGATACGTCCTTCCGGTTGCAGCATTTTGTTCCTGAGAAAGCAGAAGCAAGATTCTAAGCAACGGGGCGACATGACCAAGGATGCGTCGACATCGTATCACTCTCTTTTTTTCCCCATTGGAGAAGATTATTATTCTACTAAGTGGAAGGAAGTAGGATTGCTCGTTACCTGATGGGGAAGGACACGGCGAACGGACACCAGGAACTGTACGAATCCACCGACGTGGCCGGCGGCCGCGGACAGGTCGATTAGCGGACCGTACCAGCTCACTACTGCGGCCATTATAGGTTCGCAGCCGCGCTGCCGGTGGGGTAGATTGGGGTCTTCCCTCGGACCGAACTGTGGCGGGAGCGGCGCCGCCGCCGCCGCGCGAGGTCGGGTGGTCTGCCGGCGAATCCTAAACGGCGCCTTAAGCGCCCGTTTTAGGCATATATGCAATCGGGCGCACACCCTCCCGCCGCACTGGGCCGGCCCACTTCTTTTTTCTGTTTTGAAAACGCAAAAAACTTTCTAGCGACAACCGTGTTTCGAACCAGGGATCTCACGAAAACAGGGGCGCTTGCCAAACCACTCGGCTAACCTACCATTTTGTGTTAAATGACAGGCTTTTAACCTTTTTCTATTTCCCTTTTTCGTGAAAAGAGTTTCTTTTTTCTCTTTTTCTTTTCTTTTTCTTTCTTTTTCTTTTCTTTTTCTTTCTTTCTTCTTTTCTGCTAAGCGCGAGATTTGTTTTTCAATTTTGTAACTTTATTTCATACCGATGAACTTTCTTTCAAAATTGATGAATATTGTCAAATTTGATGAACTTTGAAAAATGTTCAGTGTGTATAAAAAAATGTTCATCATGTATAGAAATTTTATTCAGCATGCATTCAAAAGGAGTTCATCGTATTTAAGAAAATGTTCTATGTGTATTTGAATATTTGTTCACCGTACATTGAAAAAATGTTCAGTGTGTATAAAAAATGTTCATCGTGTAGAGAAATTTTGTTCAGCGTGTATTCAAAAAAAGTTCAGCTTATTTCAGCAAAATGTTTAGTGTTCTTTGAATAATGTTCACCCTATACTAAGAAAATGTTCAATGTGTATTCAGAACTATTTTTGAATACGCGGGTTTTTTTTGCATGCTCAAGAACTCCATCCGTAATATTTGAACATATTTTCAATAATTGAAATGTATAAATGCCACAGTGTATTATGCAATAAATAGCGCGTCTGTTTTCTGTTTATCTAAACTTTCGCGGTGAGAATATCAGCTAGCATTTAGCTGGTGCAGTGGCTAGCCTCAAAGTGTGGAAGCAGGAGGGCGCGAGGTCGAATCCTGGTTGGCAGGTATTTTTGGCTGTCATTTTTCTCGTTGCTTTGTCGCGTGATCGTGGATCGCGGGCCGGCCCATCCAACCGCTGCTGCGGGCGCCAGATCCCTTGCGCGGCGCTGATCGTGGATCGCGGGCCGGCCCATCCAACCGCTGCTGCGGGCGCCAGATCCCTTGTGCGGCGCTGAAGGCGCCCTATAGGAGGTCCCTGGTCTGCCTCCCTCCTACCAAAAGTGATCGTGGATCGCGGGCCGGCCCAT